ATTGATTAGTAATTAGATTTTATAATTTATTTTAATTTTTTATAAGATTATTCTAATTTCATAACTTGAATTGCAAGTATTGTTTTAAATTTTTTAGAGTTAAATTATATTTTTATTAATTATTTAAATTATTTTTAAATTTATCAAGTCAATTAAATATCATCAAATTACTATTATTTTAACAAAAAAAATTAATAACATTTGGTTGTTTTTTTTATATATATATTTTAAAAATTATCCACCCAGCATTAGCTGGAGTCTAGTTTAGAGATATAGTGGGTCTAATCGAATGACATTTAGGAGATTTTGTGCAATCTGCACTTTCATTAAATGATTTCATAAAAAATTCTAAAATAAGCTTTAATATACCTAAAATATAATCTTATTGTCGAATCATAATAAATATGGCCTTACTTGGTCACCTTTACCGATAGGAAGGGAAGTTGAAGAAATTTGCCATGAACGACGGCTCTAACATTGTTCTTCAGTGATGTTTCAACTGCCAGATGAATTGAATTGAAGAATATTAAAACTAAATTGATTATGGGATAATATATTTAGAGGTGAAATCGAGGTTTCTCCGACAGAAGCCGTCCCTTCAATGTGAGGTGGAAAGGCTCGGAGTGATGCAATCAGGGGCCAGCGGCATCGTCGTCCATATTGTTAAAGTTAATAAACAAGGACCAAATCAACTGTCGATCTCTACTTAACATGGATGGCTCTAATCGACTTTGATTCTCTTTGAAAGATCTCCCTCTGTGTGCATGTCGTTTTCTGTCTGAAATTAAAAGATTAGCTGTGGTTGACGCTGTCGGTAATTATAGCTGTACAATAGAAGTTGTTTTGTTAAAGAACTTTTTATTTATAAATAAATTAAATTACTTTTTTTTTTAAATATTTTTAACATTAATATTTCCTAACAATTTTTTAAAACATAATTTCCATACTTTCCAAACAATTTTTTAAAACATAATTTCCATACATCGTGGTGTTCATTCACAAAGTGAAAGCTGGCCAAGGCGAGTGGAGTGGAGTCACCGAAATACATGTGAAACGACAAGTAGTTGAGGTGGACATGAACTTTGAAGCGATACTAAGATTTTGTCCTCAAGCATGGAGCTTGTTGAAAGGTTCGCGTCACTTGTTTGGTAAGATTTCTAGCATTACGGCCACCTTTGGAGGAGTACGTGCTCCGACAAGGACAAAAAAAATAAAATAATAATCTTACTGGGGAAAGGAATGACGTCATCCTTTGATATTGGAGTTACAGTTGTTAAAAATAGATTCAACAACTCATATGAAAAGAATATTGGTCACTGAGTCAATTTATTAGGTTTAGCTCGGTTGGATTATAAATAAATCAACCAGGAGAAGTTACCCCCATCAATATTTTTCTCAATTCAACTTATCTCGCAAGGTTTCTCCATTAACCTGCCAAATTAGTTCAGTATCGAGTCCGTATTTAGAATAGTGTTATTTTTAATAATATTTTTTTATTTTTAGTATAAGTGCATCAAAAAATTATAAATTTAAAGCTAAATAAAATAAAAAATATTATATATTTTTTAAAAATCACCTTTAAAATACAAAAACAAAATGCCAGAATTGAGGGACAAGTATTTAAATAGCTCACTCGAACATTTTGTCCTTCAGCTCTTGATACCGTGACAGGAAGCATCTTTTACAAACCTAGTGTCAAGTATCCATAAACAAGGTCCCTTGTTATCTCTGGGAATCCACCGTTCCAGAAAAATAATAATTAGAAAGTTGCTTACTTTATATATATATATATATATATCGAAACTCGGCTGCTAGAAACTAACCATCGAAGAAAAGGCATCATAATAGTGAAGGCTCTTATGTTTTCAGCAGTGGCGGATTCTTTTAAGCAACAGGGACGGGCTTGATAAAATCATCCCACAAATTAGATTTTTCGAACCATTTCTGCTGTCCCTGGTTTTTGAAGCTCTGATTTTTCCTCAAAATCCACCATGAAACTGCTTATCACTTAAAGAATCTCAATTTCTAATCTATACAAGTTGTAGATTGGGCTCCTTTGGAAATGGTTGATAAATGGCTGGGATGGAATCCACTACTAGCAGAGTTCACGTACACAGACTACAGTATGCCAAGCCATTCATCTCATTATCCCATGAAACAACATTACAAAATTGGACCTGCTCCTAGGTGTAAAAGGGAGCAGCAAGAATGCTTGAGTTACTATGAACAGACCGATTGACCGAAGTTATTATGAAGTATTTTTGACTCGGATATCTAATGTTTCTCTCTCATACTAACCTTTTATATAAATCCCTATGGAGCGGGCAGTGGTTAATCCCTTGTGACTTTTGAGAGATTTACTGTTCAGTTTTTTGAACCGCCTGTGTGTCATCATCCTCTAGTCGACCAAAGTATAAAAGTGAAGCTAGGCAAATCAGCGCATCGGTAAGAACAAGGCTGACCACATCAAAAACAAATTTTGGAGCAAATAGTCCCCATACCTGCATGGAGTCGGAAGTAAACAAAATGTCAGTAGGTGTTCAATGCAGGCTAGTACGGAATGTTTAAAAGATCCAATACCATTAGATGGCGCCTTTGAATGGTAACGCATATTATGGTGACAGTGACCGTGGTGGCAGTAATGAGTCCATGCATCATATACATCTGAAACATGGAAGAAGATCTATAATAAGTCTCTGCCACTGGTTATGACATTCTTGAAAATAAAAGAAAAAAAAATCACACAAGAACTTCTTTAAAAGCGAACATCTCAAAATGTGACCACGGGCAGAAACATATAAAAATTGCAGGGAGCATGACCAACAGTGATTTCGGGCAATTAACTAACCTGAGACAACTGGGGGAAACGAAAATCCTTCCCATGGTCATTCTGACCGAACAAAAAATTGCAAACAGCCAGAAATGGAAGTGCAAGAACAGGAAGAATGTGAGAAAAGCCAAATGTATCTATTGTAAGAAGGATCGCTTGACGAACAAGGACAAATTCATCAAACCTGAAATATTGAACAGGTTAAAAATAAGTCAATTGGCAATGGTAATTTACCCCTGCGGATGGTGCACCACCACATCATCTGCATTATCATTACCAATTAATTTAAGAATCGCGCAATGTGTCTGCATGCACTCCCATAACCAAGACTCACCCAATAAATGCAGCACCATACCGCAGGCCATCAAATGCACACCTGCAGGGAGAGAGGTGTGAGGTTATGAAATATATATTGGATGGATTAATAAAGCTGCTTAAATTAGAGTTTCAAAACTACACGATAAGTAAATCTGCTTCCAGTGTTAGTCAGCTACATATAGTCACGAATAATAATAATAAAATTTAAAGACAAAAGTATACGCAACATATGTGCAAGCATCAGAGTAGATCACAAGCATCTCACCAATGACCAGTGGCAAAAAATAGACACACAGCTAAGAGGTTCCACTGTGTAATAGCAAGAGGATTGAAAGTAAAAATAGCATCAGAGTCACTGTCTTCCATACTTTCCAACTTCACTATGCAATAACCTGTAAACAGAGACTTTCTATGAGCCCAATCCTTTATAAAATAGTGCATCACTAATTAATTATGAAAATACTACTAAACAGAACAAAAACAAAGGACTCAAGTAAAACAACAGCTCAACATGGTGCAATTTGATGTAATACCCAAAGAATATTAAGAAAATAAGCACCTCCAATTATCAGCGCCAATGCTACCAAGGAACCTTGTTTTCCAGACAGAATGATGATTGTTGGACTCCAAGCAGATAAAATGGTTACTGTTTTCACTACCATGCTCCTCTTGTGATCTAACTTTCTATCTTTATAAAACAAATGTGCAACTGCAAACAAAAGCAGCTGACCCAGCCCAATTGCATAAATCATTCTTGGGATGTGACCTTTTGCCATTCCTTGAAGCAACAGTGCTAGGGTTGGTATGCTACTTTCAGCTCCCCAATACACTGCTATAAGCACATAGCTTAAAATGGTTGCCATGGTAATATACTTCCAAAGTCCCCCAAAAATGCTGCTGGCGATGGTCCTGTATAGCAAGCATGCCAATAATATGACAGCAAGAATTGGGCCAATTTCAGCCATGTATGTCCACAGTGGATGACCTGGGGCAACCCCAAGCACCCATGAAGGAGACGCGCTCAGGAATAAAGAAGTGGCAGCCTGCTTTGACAGCCCAACTTCAATGGTAAATCTGAGAATGGATATCAACAGTAGAAAACTTACTGCCTGCAAGGTGAAGCCCATGAAAATTAGCATCACAAAAACAATCCATGATATATTTTCTGATCATAAACATCAAAATAATGTGACAAACTTTTAAGGCCACCAATACGTACTTCAAATAGCATCTTCTTTTTCATGATTGAAGAACGTAGCCTGACAATGCTGGTGGTGGCCAAAAGAAAACTTGCCACTTTTCCTTCCTCCACTGAGATCAGGGTTTAGAAAAAAGGGATGTCAGGAAAGGAGGAAAAGCACTTCTCAAACCATGAAAAAGCTAGCCAGGCTGAGAACTTACAAATAAAACTGTTTGACAGGAAGCTACATGCACGTATTGCCACAACAAAGAAGGCAAATATTAATTAAAAGGAACTTCCAGAACCTCCAGGAGACAAAAGAGAAGTCGTATACAGATTATTCACTTTTTGAATGGCAAGAAATATTATTAAGAGTGAAATTAACATGGTCCCGAGACCAATTCCCATCAGCTTCAGATTAAATTCAGTCCATTTGGAGCGAGCCAGCTCTGAAACATTTGATAGGAAGCTAAAATAAAAATCAATTTGCCTTGTAAGAGCAGGGAACAATGTGTGGCGTCTTTCATTTCTATGCAATAGTAAGTTCTTAGTACTGTTTGCCCAATTCTGCTCTGCCTGAACATATGCATTTGATATGTGCAACAAGTCTTCAGAGGAAAATCCAATGACAGATGAAGCTGAATAGACATCAATGTATCTTTTCACCTGCAGAAGAGAATTAACATCACATTGGAAAATAGAGATGGTGAATAACTGCAAGATTGCCTTAAGAGAGTATTAGTCAAAGTGGAAAACAGGCAACGGTGGTGGTTCGAATTTCACCAACCCCCATCCCCTACAGGGAAAAGAAAAGGAATATATAAATGGTTGGAAACAAAGATAAAAACATTATCTTCACAGTTGATGACAATATACCACCTCCAGCTAATCCACAACTAAATGACCAGCAAATAATTAAAAATTCCTATACCGAGAATTGAAAGGCTATTGGTATTACCTAAGGTGGACAGCACGTATTCTGCCTTGTTTGTCTAGCATTCCTTTCTGTTATCTATATCCTTCTAAGATTGGAGAGGGTGAAGATGAGACATTTTCTCAGGTCTGATGTGGAGGAAATGTGCTGCTACTTAAAGGTCTAGGGGATTTGGCTACAGCCCTTAGCTTTGTCAGGTAAGTGGCTATGGCATTTTCCTTAAAAATTGAATCTTTACAATAACGTAGATATACATGCAAACTGCTCAGATCCCATTGAGGTATACATGCAAACTGCTCAGATCCCATTGTACAAATTCATATATATACCAATTATACAATACAAACATAAAATCAGACCCTCTGACGCACGTCAGCAAAAATTATATAATCATATGGGATTAAATATTTGAATTACATTCTATTGATGTCATTTACTCATAGTTCAAAGTGTGATCATGCATTTTGACAACATCCACATATCACAAGTATTAACACCATACAAATATTTTGAGATAGGAGAGTGTTGTGCATCCACATAACACACTGTTCATTATTTTTTACATGCACAATTCTGTATCTTTCTAACACATGGCCAAAGGAACTGCCAGAAACCTGCACCTCTTTTTGAAAAGTGGTTGACAGCAGTTCAGAGCTCATTCAACTTTATTCAAATGAAGTCTTTTTTTCTTTTTTCTTTTTTCTTTTTCAATCACTACATGGATCTGGTCAGCCCATCATGGGGGTTCCAAACCAGAATCCAAAATCTAATAAGGTCACTAACAATTGTAGTCCCCTGTAAATGTTTAAAATGCTACCATGATAACTTCTATTGCTTATGCGAGTCCGAAGAAATTCTTGTATATCACACGAATGAGTTTTTATGTTTTGTAGCACAGTGAAAAAATAATAATTGGAGAAGTAGCATAGTAGAGAAAATAACACAGTTTAATAAGTCGTAGATGATATATATTACTCAAGAGCTGCAATTTAATATTTTTCATGCTCTATCCTTTTTAAGGATTGGTTGGCCACAAAGGAGTTGGCTTTCCTGTTAAGGACATCTTGCCTATATATCAATTTTTTAAACTACGTAAACTGTACACCAATTAATTTGTTGGACTGAGTTCCCTCCACTGTGACAAACCTTAGAAATTGATTGCTATGTGGTGAGGCACCATACACCAATTAATTTTTAATTCACATCTCAGTAAATTATATTTTTTTATTCAACTTTAGAATTTTCTTCGGCTGGAATAACTTGTATCGTGAGTAACGAACTCCTTTTCAAAATCATTTTTTATGGAATAATGCTTCAAAGAGGTCGCAGATGCTAACTGCAACTCTCATGTCGCAGATAGCATCTGCGACCCACTAAATGAACTCATTTTCTTAGACAATTTTACTTAAATCTTCCACTTGGTAATGAAAAAAAAGCTTCAATGACAGTCGCAGTTGGCATCTGCCACTCGTTAATCTGTGTTATTTTCCTAAATATTTTCTCTTCTATGCTACTTTACCAATTATTTTTTTCACTATGCTAAAAACCCATGAAACTCATGTATATCCTTTTTTTTTTCCTTCCCTCCTATGATACAAAAGGTAGACATGTACTTCATTTTTTTTGGGAGGATTTGTGGGTAGGACTACATTTTTTTTCCTCGAGTAATTAAAACCAAAGAATATGTTTTTGGCAACTCTATGGAGGCATCATTACAACCCTTTTAGGCCTCTTTAGCAGATACTTGAAGGAGATGGCACACGCTTCTTATTTTTTTCTTATCTCTTGATATTAGGATAATATCTTATGCTTGTTTAATTTTTAGATTTCACTACTTCAATTTACTGAAAATTTTCAGGTAACAGTGAAAGAAGACACAAGAATGGCATGATCCCTTTGGAATGTATAGATGAAACAACCATATAGTTTAAAATTTAGAAAAATAACTAGAGTAGCAATAAAATATGTAATTTATATCATGCTATTTAAGTGTATTTAATATTTGGGAACAGTAAAGAAAATGTACCTGCCAGGAATTGATGCAGAGTACATTGACATAATTCAGTAACCATTCCTCCAATTCTGACAGATTGGAGGAATCCCTCACATTTATGCCATCCAAATTCCATGTACCAGCACCTAAAGCATATAGCTCAGGATTAACTTGTCCAATGCTGAAAAAACAAAACTTACAAGCATTATTCTGGATGAAAATTCCATTGCAAAAAAATAAAAGCAATGCAAATGACAGCAGCCTATAGCTCAAACTTGAAAATGTGATCCCAAGCGACAAAGAAGCTCTTTTACTAGGTGAAAAAACTGATAAATGACTTTGGAAGCAAGTGGAAATTTTCAAGTTTTTACAAGCCAGAGATTAGTTAATACAAAAGAGCAAAGCTGGTTAATTTATATCTTTCACAGCTTAGTAGTAGTGTTTTAAAAAATAAGATTTATAAACATCCAATATTTGGACATGCAGTTGTAAGATTATAGATCAACAAATAATGCTAGTCTGCACATCAATTATACACTGATCTGTTTTGCTAGCAATAATTATTATGTTATTATGTACAACGACAGACAGGAGCAATCAGGGAAAATATTATCACAAGCAAAAGTGCTCGTTGGAATAAAGATCACAGATCAAGGTAATGGATGGAAAAGGAGATCAACCTCATCTCCAGAACCAAATTTTTTTTTCAAGTATGGAAAGTCTAAGAATAATCTACATATTGTAGCATTCTGTCAACACCAATGACTTTTATGACATATTGGAGAGAACAGAAACTGCCAAACTAAGTAAAGAAAGTGATCTCGTTTACCTAGAAAACCATCAGTCAATAAGGATATATTATAAACATACAATGGATCAAATGTTAAAACTGAACCATGCTTACACGGCACCTTCCAAAAGGAAACGGAATACCAAGCAGAGCAGACACTGTCACCGCAAAATCAAGCTGCATAAAATGACATCAATAAGTACTTATCATGAGGTAAATACATATTTGAAATGAAATTGCAATAGAATCACAGAAGTGAAAAGATATTCTTTACCTGTTGGATGGAGCTGGCACATTTCTTCTTTCCATCCTGAAATTGGAATACATAAAGCTCAATCCAGTCAGAAGGATCAACAAGAATCCTGACACATGTACCGATTAAATTCTACCTATTTTCCTTTTCAATTTGGTATTCTATCTGATTTTCCAGATTCTTTAATTGCAAGTTAGAAAGAAGTTTTATGTCTATCAAAGTTGCAAGATGCCCAGTCTACTTTTGCCACTACATAAGTAGAGCTGTATAGAGAACACAAAACTGCATTTCTGTTACTTGTTTGAAACAGTTCGTGCTCCTTTTCTTCTCCCCCTCTTTTATTCATTGTTGAGTAATCGGGAAGAAGTAACATAGCCAAAGCTAAAACAACTAGGAATATAATGCTTCGTTAATGTAGTGGAAACTCAAAAGGTCGAAGGAAGAGCTGATTCCAGTGAAATAGACATCAGTATATACAGTGGTTGGCAAAATTTATGCGTTCATTTAAAGAGTGGGGAAGTACCAAATCTAGTTTACAAGATGATGTATCTAATTCAGATGGAATGGAAGTTGGAGGCTTCTTAAAACTCATAGCAAAAATTGACGTTTCAACCTGCATAGCATGATTCCAATTTTCAGATATCAGCAAAAACAAAGCCAATCAAGTTTCTTTGAGAACAAGACAAATAGCATACCTCTTCAGCACTTCCACCACCATGATCACCATTTAAGGTTTGTCCATGGTCACCCATAACCAGAAGAAACGTATTTTCATGTAAGCCACCTGGTTCAGATTGGCTCCCAAGGACTTCGATTACTTTCTGAAGCAAAAAACATGGTCATCTCATATATATATACATATACAAACATCTGTTTTTACGCACACACGATCACACACAAGTGGACTACTATTAATTATGCATTTTCTTTATTTCCTATTTACAATTGTTATTGTAATTAAAGGAAATTACAAAGGCAAATATAGTTTTTACTAGAGTAATGGCTTAAATAGCAATCAATTGATTTTCCTAAATCCAGGTTTAAGTTAAAGAAATAATGCATACGTATAGTTAAATACACAGAGGATAACTAAAAGGTTACATTTGCAGATTGTTGTAGACATATCTTTTTTCCCATAACTTTTGTAGTACATCACTAGTCTGATATGAACCTATTCCAGCTAAATCTAAAAAAGAAGGCGGTCCAAGAAACTCAAAATTCAAAATATCTGACCAGTTTATCAGAGGTGCAAAGTGCCAAACCAACCAACAAAATCAACAGTGTCGAAAATTCAAAGCAAGCTGCAAGATCAAGTATATGATGCAACTTAGATAATCATAATTGAGAAAATTACCTCTAACATGAGATTGTACTGCTCCAACTTTTCTATCATTGGCATGGAATCAACACCAAATATATGCCCAGCATGATCCTATGCCACATAGATCACACAATTCAGATTCCAGTCAAAGCTTGTGTGTTCACCAACATGAAAAAATTGTTCCAGTTTTAAGAGGATATGGAGAAATTTGATGCAGAAGAGAAAATCATTTTTGTGTGTGTGTGTGGGGGGGGGGGGTTGTGTTGTGTGGGGCCCTGTT